ACAAATTTCTTGTTTCTTTATCGATGTTTTTCATTCTCTGCAATTCAATACAGTCTTTTAATTGTATTTTACTTTTGTTTATAGGAGTAGCCTAGTGTTAGAATTCCATTTCTTGTACTCTGTATAAGAATTTTACTTATGAAATAAAAATCAACGCTTGGCATTAATCCCCTCTACTTTTCAACGCCTCAATAAAGAGGACTTTCAGCACTATAAGTAGAATGAATGAAGGGAGTAAAACAAATTACACGAGCATTTATCAGATTCGGTTAGCACCAAGGATAGTTTTGGCTACCCAACCCCTTCGGTCGAAAGACTCTGGCACGCCGCTAAAAAAAAAAAGAGCCAAACAATTTGGCACGCCTGGTGGGACCCCGAAAGTATCTTAATTCAACCTATATCTATGCCATTTACTCGATCTCAGTAGCAAAATTTGCCTAAAAAACAGCCTCAACATTAGGAATAAGGGGCTGAAATCAAAGTAAATCAACAGCCAAGTAATCAGATGTTGGCTGACAATATTAACAATTTAGTGCAACGGATGGAAATTTCCAACCGTACCTTTCATGGAGCACTAGAGCCAATCCATAACACATTGGCTAATTTAAGTAACTCGTTAACCATCCTATCAACAAGGTTTGATCAACACCTTATGGCATGGTCGAATACTACAGATACTTCATTGCATGCACAACAACAAGTTTTAGCGCCTGTTGGGGTTCAATAGAATTACTACCAACAACAGCGGCAAGGGTTTCAACCTCTTCTGCAGCCATTGTATGGACAGTATCAACCGCAGGCTAATCAATCGCAGGCTAATTAGCCACAATATCAGATACCAGCGAAATATCAACCAATCGAAGGGGCCAATCAGAATGTGAATTGGCGACCACTTAATCCAATTTATCAACACCAACTGCAGGTATGTCAGTCCCAAGAAGGGCGAGATAATTTTTATGTTGGTTTTAATTTTCCAGCGCCTCAGTCTCAGGTGCCAAATGTGCCTCAGCCTCAGGTGCCAAATGTGTCTCAGCCTCATATGTCGTATGTGCATCAGCCTCAGACACCTTATAAGAATCAGCCTCAAGCACAACAGCCAAATCATCAACCATTTATGGTTGATAGAGATCAATTGGCTAATTTAATTCAAGAAACTTATAAACCAACCCCAAGAAGAGTTGGTCGCCTTACATATCGGAAGCCATATCCGAACTATATAGACCGATATGAGTTTCCAAGAGGCTATAAAGTTCCCGATTTCGTTACCTTTTCGGGAGAAGACTCCACTTCGACCATAGAACATATTGATCGGTTTACCATTCAACGTGGTGAGGCTGGAGTAAATGAATTTTTAAAATTAAGGCTATTTGCTAATTTCCTTAAAGGGGCCGCATTTTCTTGGTATATAAGTTTACCGGCAAATTCGGTCTATACTTGGCAACAATTGGAAGAAATGTTTCATACCCAATTTTATAAAACCGAACCAAAGGTATCGATGGCTGACTTATCTAGGTTGTCCCAAATGCCTGGAAAAATGGCTGAAGCCTTTATTGGTAGGTTTAAAAGGGCGAAACACAAATGCCAAGTAGCCCTTCCAGAAACTAAATATGTGAGTCTAGCCTTTAATGGTTTAGACTTTGAATTATGAAGGAAATTTGAGGGAATACAATTTCGGGACTTATTCCAACTAGCCTCTAGTGCTACAAGATATGAAAAGGGCCTGAAAAAAGAACAAGATAAAAGGAATGCCTCTAGGGATACCTATTACAGGGACCCAAACTATGAAATTCATGTGATAGAGGCGTCGAATAATAATTATGTCAAAGATCCTACTTATGAGATTCATTTGACAAAGGCTGAAATTGGCATTGAAGTTGACGCTGCAGAACTGATAAATGTCAAGCTTTACATATGTCAAGCGTCGAAAAAGCCTCTAGAAATAGTTAATGGTGTTCAGGTGTTGAATTCAATAACCAAAAGGACACCAAAAGAGGCTGAAAAATAATATAATTTTAAACCAAGACTTACTTGGCCTTAGGGGGCAACTCATTCGGCCCTAAGAAATCCCAAGAGGCCGAAAGAATTTCCGTTTGATCCGGAAGGACCCATTAGGTTTTTCAACCACTCGGGGTACTAAAGAAGAATCGGTTATTGTGACCGATTTAAATTATGAGTTGTTGATTGACAATCAAATATGCACGTTTTGGTTGCTAATGTCAACAATTTAGTGTTGAGATTGGACCGGGGGCTAAACACAATCAGCCTCTACATAATTCAATCCTGCACCTAGACCACATACTTGTCACTTTGGTGACAAGGTTTGATCAGCACCTCAATTGATTAAGTGCTTAAAACATTGTATGGTGAATGTGTCGTAGTTAGGATGTGGCTAAAAGATTGCTGATAAGCGAAATAAATAAATAAGGGCTGACGACAATAAGGTGCTGATCGGAAAAATAATTGAAGAATTGTTAGAAGATGTAGGGACTGAGTAGCTTTGCGAAGGGCCGAATAAAAGTGACTGATTTAAATTGTGATGCATCAGTTCAACTCTTTAAAATTTTGATCTGCCCTTATTTCAAAGAGCTAGGGGGGCATTGTTTGCACCCTAAATTTAATTTTCAATTTAGACACATGGTGTTGGTTGATTGGAGGAAAATATATTAATTCAGTCACATGTCATTAGTTGATTGGAAAAAGAGAGGTGTTTTTTTAGTGATAATAATTAATATTGTTATCTTAAAAGACTCTGATATAAAATTGAAGTCTTAAATCAATAAATTGCCTACGTCAGTTTTATTCCAATAACACTGTTCATATGGATAAGCTTAAGACAAAAGGTAAAAAAGAGTTGCATTTAGATAAGCTTAAGACAAAAGAAATTTTCAATTCAAATATAATATTTGAATTTGTAAAGGAAATTGCTGAAGGAAACTGCTACTCCAGACATCTATAAATAGCACCATGAAGGCCTTGTGCAAAAGGTCCCCGACCAACACAAATTTCCTATTTCTTTATCGATGTTTTTCATTCTCTACAATTCAATACAGTCTTTTAATTGTATTTTACTTCTGTTTATAGGAGAAATCTAGTGTTAGAATTCCACTTCTTGTACTCTGTATAAGAATTTTACTTATGAAATAAAAGTTGACGCTTGGCATTAGTCCCCTCTACTTTTATTTTCTAAGTCTCTTAGAATAGATGAATACTCGTGTAATTTGATTTACTCCCTTCATCCATTCTACTTATAGTGCTGAAAGTCCTCTTTATTGAGGCATTAAAGAACCTGAAGGAAGGGGTCATCCTTGCCTTCCAACAATCGCCTGATTCACTAAGGGCCAATTTCAGATTCGGTCATCACCAAGGATAGTTTGGTTATCCAACCCCTTGGGTCGAAAGACTCTGGCACGCCCCTAAAAAAAATAAAGAGCCAAACAGTATCAATGGAGTTTCGGATTTTAGTGTTTGTGGGGTGGAGATGAGAAGGTTAATTTTGTCCATTAAAATACTTTGAGAAAGTTAATACAGTAAATTTATAATCCAAATAAGTCAAAGGGCAATAAGGTATTTTTGCCTTGATTTGGGGGTGTCATTGTTCAATTTACCAAATTTAAGGATATCATTTTAAAAAAATGTCTAATTTGTAAATGGATTGTTTTTAACCCAAACTGGGAGGTGTGTCAGTGTAATTTAAGAGGACTGGTTTCCTATTATTTCAAGAGAGAGGCAACTTTGAACATCTTTTACTTGTATTGGTTTCCTTTTGTTTCAAGAGAGAGGTAACTTTGAACATCTTTTAGTTGTATTTTATTTATTCCTTCTCCTTTTATCTGTTATCCGTTCCACATTTTTATTATCTAAAAATCAAGCATTAATGAGAAGGATAATTAGAGTGTTGTGATATGCAAAAGAGGGGGCAGCGCATACTTTTTCAAATACGAAAAGAAAACTTAGCAGCTCTACCTTGCCTACCCTACCTTATTCGGGTTTTATTCTCCTTAGTTTCTCCAGCAAGTAATAGTGGATTTTTCCTAGCTAGAATGAGAACTCTCTCTCACACGCATGGTTCTCTAATTCTCTAAGGACACCTGCTGCACGTTCAGAGTTTTGCCAATTGCCATAGGAACATAGAAGAAGATGAAGAGAGGTCATCTGATCTGGATATATTTATTTATTACAGTATTATTTATTATTTAATGAAGTAACATAATATATTACTGTACTAATTTGTCAGTTCACTGAAATAATAAAGCCCAATCCCAGATGTCCAATAACAGTCCATGGGCCTTACCAGTTGATTATCCATTTTGAAGACAAAATCCAGCAAGTGAGAAGTAAGATTCTATCACTGATTTCGTCACATTTCAATTCTGACCCAATTGGTGTTGACCTTTAATTTCTTGATTAATTCTCTACCGGACTATTTAAGTAATCCAATCAAATATTAAAGTAATCCAATCAAAACTTATTATTTAATTATTACCCATAAAAAGGTATCTATTTTGTCAGAAAATTCGACAGGAGAGAAACAAAAATATGACCGTTACATTTCTAGGAAAAGAAGTCAAAAGTTGAATATCTCAAGAGTTTCAAACATAGTAGGCTCAGTCCCCTCCATTCATGTGGGAAGCTCGAAGAGGCAGGCAATACAAGGTCCCCAACAGAGGAGGCTCCTTGACACCACCATACCAGAAAAGAAACTGAGCCCACCACCTACCAGATTAAGTCCATCAGATCAGATCAATGTGATAATAGATCTCTCTCTCTCTCAATACCGTAGAATAAAATTAGCTCCATCAAACCAATTTGATAGAATAAAATATACTCTGGAGAAAGCCATCTTTTTTTTTTCTTTTTTTTTTTTTACTGCAACAGAGCATGAATCAATTGGCAAAAGAGATAAAGACATAATAAAAAGAAATGGAACAATGATTTAATAATACTTTCATGACTAACACACAAGGATAAGTTAATAAAAGATGAAACACAACGACCAAGGATAGAAAATCTACTGTTTGCATGTCCATCCCTTCAAAGGCAGTATATGAAACAGGTATTGCTTCAAGAATTCCAATTTACTGTTTGTATGACAGACCATCCCTTCTCAAGGTAGCATATAAAACAAAATCTAGTGCTTTAAGAATTCCGAATGGGCTATCCTCAATCCAATTGCCCTCCAACAAACAAGCATCTTTTCAAAATAATAAATAATAATAAAAATCTTCGAAGAAATGGACATTGATCATTTGAAGAGTAGTTACTGAAAACTTTAGAAAATGAAGGGTTGTGAAGACAATTAATTAATTAATTAACTATTCACCAGGGTCATGTGTATGTTAGTCCTATCCGCAAATTGTCTCAGATGTATGGCTCTCTGATTGCTCAGCTTTGCTTTCCATGTCAACTAAACCACAACTCTCCTTCATGGACTCAATTTCCATGCTGGCTGTTCGGCTCTTCCTGTTTCTCCGATCCTGGAGAAAGATATTACAAGTCTAATATATCAGCCACACAAAATGCCCATGAACCACACAAGCACTTATCAGATTCAAAATTCATTACATAACTGGGATGTCATGGAAACACAAGAATTTTCACAAATGGATTTTGATCATGAAAAACAAAGCATTTTAGCGGCGCCCCACAGGGGTAGCATGTATAGGTAGTTGTATTGGCATTAAATTGATAGTAATTGATGAGTTTCAGACACACAAACTGTTACACAACCATGTGCCTACGTCTAGGATGACTTGATTTACCATCTGATAGTTTGTTTGAAATATTATAAAGCATTCTCTTCAATAGGTTACAATACCGTAGTAGCCATAATGTTATGGCACTAGCACATTTTTGGAATATAAGAGAAGTTTTAGGATTCATTTCCACGATTTTGGATACTCATTAATGATCCATAGCTACACATGAGTGTCACGCTTCAGGAAATGTGGTGCCAGACACAACTTCCCTAAACCAAAACATGGGGCATAGCCATATGGGAATCTAAATGAATGTGGAAAATGAATGTATATTATATAGTTATATGTTTTAAGATTTCACATACAATGAAGAGACGTCAGAAGTATCCAAACTCCCAAGACAACTCAACTTATAGAATATGATGTGTGCTCTCAAGCATCAAGATTCAGGACACCACAAATGAAAAAAACTAAAAAAAATTAATTTCAAACAAGGACTATATCAAGAAGGCATACTACAGTCCAAACTTGATTCTACACACTTTACTGAGATAAATAAAGGTGGAACTGGCAGTTGACCACGTGGACATGTTTCGTGTTAACAAGTGTTCGATAAGGCAATCCTAGTTAGGAAGAAGTAATCTACATCTCATATAATTGACTACATGATTATTAAGTGAATGCTATGCACAAATAATAAGGAAATGAAAGCATTTTGCATTAAAAGATAAAGAGAATATAGCAAATGAAGATAGGAAAATCACACAAATGAGCAAGTAAATGACACTTATTATGTCTAAGTCAAAAATTGATCAGCACCTCACGGTAAGGGAATTCATCAGCTTCAAACATTCGGGCAACCTGACTCATCTTGGGCCGTTTCTCAGAGTCAGGATCAACACACCGAAGAGCAACCAAAAGGGCACGTTTTAGTGCTCGAGTGATAGGCTTAACTTCAAGGTTTGGATCCACAACTTCCTCGGCTCTTCTATTCCCTACCATCATTTTAAGCCACTCAACAAGATTAACCTGCCATGAGCAAAGCACCAATTATTGGAACTTGCAAAAACTGGCATTTTTAATATTCAAATGAGTCTCCACACCTCTTGGGGGAGAAAGAGAGAGTTGCAAGAAACAGAAATTAGAATTAAGTGGACAATAGTTGTGAAGGATCTGTACCTCGTTAGAAGGCCGAGCATAGTCCACGGGATCCCTTCCAGTTACTGCTTCCAGCAAGAGGACACCAAAACTATAAACGTCACTCTTTTCATTTAACAATCCAGTATTGGCATATTCTGGCGCCACATAACTGCAAGTCACAGGAAAGTCTGATTTTCAGAACAGAGAAATGAAGTGACCATTGTAGTGCCTTAAAAGGCGGAGACTAGAACAGAGGATTCAAAATGAAAACATACACATACCCAAATGTTCCCATTACTCTTGTTGTTATATGACTTTCTCCCGAACCCAAGAGCTTGGCCAACCCAAAATCAGATACCTTGGCATTGAACTCATCATCAATCAAGATATTGCTAGATTTGATGTCACGGTGAATAACTTTTGGTTCTATTGCTTCATGCAAATAAGCAAGCCTGAAAACCAATATGTGAAAGATAAATTTTCCAACTTATCCAAAAAAAGTTAGTTGCAAGATAGAGATGGCTTGAAATGAAAATGAATTATAAAACATGCCTCATATGCCGTGTAAACCATGCAAGAGTTGGGCAATTAAACTCTATTTGTAGATCTTGTTACAACAAAAGCAATACTAATTCTAACAAGATTACACTGAAAAAGGGACTTACGCCGTAGCAGTACCCAGAAGAACCTTCATACGGGCTTCCCAAGTAAGGGTGCCATGTTGGCACATAGCTCCATGAAGCCACTGTTCCAAGTTGCCATTATTCACATATTCATATACAAGCATCCTAAAAATATGTAATTTGCAACCAAAAGTCAAGCATTGAAGAGTAGAAAAAAGGAGGAAAACTGGAAAAGTACTTGCCCAGAATTAGCATGACTATAAACAGTGATAGTAAACAAAATGGCCAAAGTTTGAGAAAAAATAAATAAATATTAGTAATTAAAATATAAAAAGAAATTAAATCTCACCTGTGAACCCCTTCTATGCAATAGCCTAGGAGCCGCACAAGATTTTTATGTCGAACATGACCTATAGCCTCCACTTCAACCCTAAATTCTTTCTCAGCTTGCCCCCTGTAAAGTCAATTCAGAGTATAACTGTTAAACAATTTCCCAAATCATATAGAATTTAAGGGATACATTCCCAGACCGTTGAAAACCTTTGAAGCATCCTTACAGATTATTAAGAAGCTTCTTCACTGCAACCTCAGTTCCGTTGATCAGCCTGCCCCTGTAAACAACCCCATATCCACCCTCCCCAAGCACATTCTCTGCTGAGAAACGGTTTGTTGCAAGCTCAAGATCTCTAAGAGTGAACCAGTGACCCCATCCAAGATGAGAGATTTCTGGCAATCCAACCAAAGGAGAAGCCATAGGAAGTCCATATGACAATGAAGGCAGCTTTCGAACAGTCCCAGACCTTCCCTCTTCCCCTGATTGTGAACTACAGCCCCTCTCGTGATGATACTTTGAGCTGCATTGGCTGCTATTATCCATGTCGCTAGGTTTGCTCATGCCTAAATGAACTAACATCTTTTCTGAATTCTTATCACTTGATTTGTCACGAACTGTCAGATATAAACTCTCCGGATGATCATGGAAGTTTTGGCCCCCAATTCTGTCAACCCTGATATCTTTCGAGACACTGGGTATTTGAAAAATGGAATACTTTTCTAGTGTTCTTTTAGATTTTCTCCGAAAGGTGAGCCACACAGACAAAATACAGAGGATCAAAATAATAAAAGCACCAACACATATACCAATTACAACCCATAGTTTTAGACTGAGAAATGAGGTTTTCTTTGATAATTCTGTATTCAAACTCTCAGACGCCATTTCTAATGACCCAGAGATGGAAACAGAAAATTGAGCCTTATTATCTTCGTTTCTGATTCTGAACTGCAAAGTTAAACCATTGCCACCTGAATCCCAAGAACATGTTAGCTAACCCCCAAAACAACTGAATGCCCAACACATAAATAGGTTTACAATAAGTTTTTCATATGTGATTTTCAGTGTTTTTCCCAATAAAGATGTAGCAGAACAAGCTAGAGATTATCCTAATCCTGATTCAACGCACCAATCCCAGAAACATACAAATAAATGACTCAATTTTTAAAAAGATTGTTTGCTTAATCTGATTAAATAACAAGATTTGAAATAGGGAGTTTTAAAATAAATTAAAACAATCTGGAACAACATTTCAAAATATTCTAGTAAATTTAAATTGACGGTTTGATGAGAGAACAGTGATCCAAAGACAACTTAATCCTGCATTTTCAGGAATTTAACAAATCAAGGAAAACCCATTTCCATGTAAACCAAATAAAATGAGAAATCAATCGCTGTAATCTCCACATTTTAAGAGAAAACAAACACACGTACCCTCAATCTCCAACTTAATGACGAATTAAAATCTATAAAAATAGGAGAAATTCAACAAAGCATGACTTATGATTCAAGTAAAAGAAATAAAGAAAAAGGGAAATGTGAATCCTCTGCAAAGTCAAAGTGCATCAAAAGAAAGAGCATTTACCTTTGTGGTGATCTAAACCTAACCCAGCTGATCTTCTTCCTTGAGAACCCAAAGAAGCAAAGGAAGGGCCTCTTGTAGAACCAAAAGGGATTCAACAAGAATAGATAGCTCAACGTAGAGTGAAATACCACAAAACCCACCAAAACGAAAAAAAAAAAAAAAAAAAACTCAAGAGAAAGTTCAATGGAAGAGTAGTTTAGAAGTTGAGAAGTATGATCTTCACTGGGCCAAAGATAATTGAGAAAATTAATAAAAGAAGTGGGCGAAGGAGGAGGACACACGAAAATCTAATCTTTGGAGGGCAATTGTCAGTGGAGAGAGAATGTAGAGAGGGAGAGGGAGAGAGAGAGATAGGGTTTTTTGATCGAAGTTGTGAATTAGGAACTAATAGAATAGAGGAGGGTCAGGAAAAGCAGAGGTGGGTGAAATAGTTGGTGGGGTTGTGTAAATGTGGAAGATAGATAGAGGATCCTCAAAGCTGGAAAGAAAGCTTGGTTTGCAATGGAGGAAACCAGAGGGAGAGAGTCTAGAGAAACTGTAAAGCAAAAGCAAAAGCAAAAAATGAGGTGAACAGTGATTGCATTTATGGATGGTAAGAATATATAGAAATGTATAGTAGATATACACACCCAATACCTAAAATATACTTTAAAAAAAAGGTAAATTACATTAACACCCTCCTATGTTTCTATCACTAAGACGTGCATTGACAGCTTTTTTAACAATGACATCCCAATAATTTCAAATGTCATATGTTTCTGTCACTAAGACGTGCATTGACACTTTTTTAACAATGACATCCCTATAATTTCAAATGTCATATTTGTCCCTAATTATTTAATTCAATTAATTTACAAAATATCAGTCATATTAATTGACAAAATTATCTTCATCATTAAGCATCTTTCTCTACCCTAATCTTTAACTCTTATTTTTTCTTTTCTTTTTTTCATTTTAGTACCTAATAGCTTACACTAGTTATATTTATTTCCGATTTCGGACATTGCTGCATTTTTTTTCTCTTTTTTTTTTTCCATGTTGTGGTGGGTCTAGGCTGGCTATGGCTTTTAAAAAAAATAATATTATACTCCGGTGGTGGTTTCTAAGTTATCAAGGTATTTCAAAAATTTTACACACATGACTTGAACCTAAACCTGAAACCTTAAACATAAATCCCAAGTACACTGCCAATTTAGCCACTACACGCTTGTAACTTAAGTATAATTATAAATATATATAATATTTTCGGGCTTGGGTTGAACTTCGGGCTTCATCTATATCAACTCAAGGGCAGCCAGAATTGAATTATGGCTCAACATATATAGCCCAGCCCCAAACCAAAATTAGAAAAAGATTGCCCAATCCCATAAAAATTCGGGCTGGGCTTGGGTTATTTCGGGTTAGGCCCGCCTGAGTTGCAGCCCTGTGTGGTGGTGGTGGTGTGATTCTGATAGAGTTTGGGTGTGTTGGTGGTGTTGTCTTGGCGTAGTAGTGGTGGTGGTATTGTCTTGGTGTGGTGTTGGTTCTAGTGGCATTTGGCACATATATATATGGTTTAACCATGGTTGTTTTTATTTTTTATTTTTTTTTCTACTTTGGTGTTTAGGTGTGGTGGTGGTTTTGGTGGTGTACAGTTATCTGGTATTTTTATAATGTTTGTGATTTGTTTATATATATATATGTTAAAAGAATTTTTTATTTTAGATGCGGGACCCACTCTTACTTTAAGTCATTATAATGACTAATGGGTCATTGCAGACCCATTTTGCTTCTCTTTCTTCTCTCTACAAAATATCTCTTCCTATCGGCATTTCATTTTTTTTTGTTTTTTTTTTTTCCCTCCACATTTTAGGCTTGATCTAGCTTTATCTTTTTGGAATTTGTTAGAAACTTGTGAAGCAAAGTCGGAGAGCTCGTCAAGGCTGTCAATTTGATAGGAGCCAAGCACCATTTAGCCTAACCCTGGGATTTTGAAATTAGGGCTTGATTTTGGGGCTTTTCTTCAATAAAGAGGTAAGGATTTCTAATCCACAATTTGCTGGACTTTGTGAGTTAATTTTTCATAATTTGTGTTATAACATGCCTAATTTGTGTATATTTCATGCAATATTTGTTATATGTTGTATATGGGGTGTGAATAATTGTTAGTTGGTATATGATGAATAAACATGCTAAAGGAATGATAATTTCACACTTATTATGTTTTATGTGCTGAATTTTGTGACTTAGAACATATGATATAAAATTTTAGAAATTTTCTACAAGGCATGTATATTGTAAATATTTAACTTACAAATAATGAAATTCTTTATTGGCATAACATTGTAAGCATGAAGTATCCATGCACTTTATTGGGAAAGAAATGGGAATATGGTTTTGAAAGAAATGAAATGGGTTTTTGGGGAAAAGGTTTGCGAAAACCTGGCCGCTTAGGAGTTGCCTAGGGACCGTGGCGTTAGTGTGGCTAGAGGGAATTGGGAAGAGCGCCCTAACGTGGTTAAGTTACCAGGACTCTAAATGACCCAATAGAGTTGCCATGGGTCAGGGACAGTTAGCAAATCCTTCTCTCATGGCGCCATGGAGTTGCTATGGGCCGGGTTGCACTAAAGGTTTGGAAATGATGACGAAAAAGGTTTTGAAAAAAAAAACGAGGAGCGACATTGCATGACATTGCACTCTATAACACGGCATGGTTCGTTCATGACTTTGGTTATTATAGTTGATGTTATTATTTTATTTCCCTATAATTATATGATCCCATTTCCCTTTCCTCTATTATTTGTTTGGATTCACGGAGTTTTAAGAGGTGTGTCTTAGGCACCTTTTACTGAGCGGCTGGCTCACCCCTCTATTTATTAACATTTTTTAGGAAACGGGAAAGAAGTGGCGAATGACGTTACACCACAGACCTAGTATGGATTAGATGATCATTTTGTTATTTTTGTATCTAAGTCCCATTATTTTTGTAAAACTTAGCATATTGTATTATGTACTGAGACTTATGGACTCTTGTTATTGCAATTATATTCATGGGATGTAAGTTTAATATAAATTGTCTAAACATTGTAAGACATGGACTTTTGATCTTAGTTATATTTTTGAGACTGTAATTGTGATATTTTGATTAAATGACATGTGGTTGTTGTACCATAAAATGAGTCATGTTGAGGCATAATGAATAGATGAAATAAATTGAGATACCCCTCGGATCCGAGACACGGGTTGATCAAGCCCAGGCCCAAACCCGAGGGAATATCAAACAATTAATATATTATAATGAACACGGAATACAAAATAAATTAAGAAATGAAATTAAAACTGTAAGGAACTAAAAATAGAATCCGCAAAATATTATAAGTATTAAAATCCATCAAACCCAAACTCCAAAACTCCATTAGTTTATAACCTGGGAATCCATCTCTAGTGGACCCCTATTAAACATCCAAACGGAAGATAGAACAACTGTAATAAACGTCCAGAAATAAAACTATAGAGAGAGCCCTACACTGTCGGAAGAGTGAATAGAGACCTCTGCTCAGCACAAACACGTCTAAGTCTGGAACTGTCGTGTACCTGAAAAATAGAAATGGGTCAGGCCCACGCGCAAGTTCTATACTACTACAATCCAAACAGAAGCCCGATACGCATGTACATCCTAAACAATTCAACAATAGCTGATAGTCCGTAAATATATATATATAGTCACACTAAAGGACTCTCACTGGACTACAGGCCGGTCTCAACCTGAATAGAGGTAACATGCTAAAACGCACACGAAGTGGGCATATGTACCTATACCTAAACAGGGTACACCTCCAACCATCGTAGCCAGCTACACATCCCGATGCATATACGCTCCCTAGCCATCGGTCCTGAGGCTCAAGCTCATACCGAGGCACCATAACAGTACATATATAAAATCCATCCAAAATCCCTGGTATTGCCGCTCAACAAGTAGTTGCCATGAAAATACAAATCCACGGGACTTAACTTTTAGTTAATCCCATCCTTATTCCAAGTAGGTGGGTAATGGTATTATTTTAAAAACCAAACCCATCCTTAGTATGCTACCGTCCCATACCGGTGCCTACTTTCCAATCCTCCAGTAGTCAATAATACCAATAAATCAAGTATATATCAACTAAATTCCAACATCCAACATTCAATGTTAGCAGTGATAAAATAAGCATTGATAAACAGGGTCACAACAACAACATATACATGCCCAATTTAAGTTGTTCCCTTTAGTCTGATATAAAGACAGAATTAATTAAAATTTCCATTTAACACCTTACAAATGACATACAGATATGTAAGGTATGTATCACAAAATCCTAACCTCCACAGTTGATACTAACTGTGATAATATAAGCATCAAAACAATATTCACAGTATGTATGTAGACATGCTCAAATTATAGTGTTCCACAAAACCGATCTAGTGTTAAACTCAAATCCTCCTAGTATTTAAGTTCCAACAGTTGCTATTACAGAAGTTAAGATAGCTATCATCTAGACCCATCCTTCCAATAATTTATATTAGCAGTGGTAAGGAAAAAACGTGAACCACAGAACCACAATGCATCCACAAACATGCTTAGTCTAGGTTGAACAAACATACAACACTACTGTAACTACCAGTTTCATAGCAAAACAGATATCATTTTAGTTTGGTTTAATCTTCATTAATCCTGGAATCATTTAAGAGTGCAAAGAGTATGAAGCCTAAGGGAAAGAGTAAGGATATAATCTTGCCTCAGAAACTTTTGTTCAAAGTTTCAACGTCGTCTTCTTAAAAAATCCCGGCGAGTTCCAAAACCCGGTTACTGTTCATGGGTACGAAACACTATTCCCGAACTCAAAATCTGATCTCCACCGTTCAGATTGTGCGACACTGAGTCATGAACCTATCCTCCAAATTTTAGCTCGATCGGACCACGGAAGAAGCGGAATCGGATGTTTGATGAAATCTGGGCATAATGGAAAAAACCTGTGCGACCCAATTACTGTTCACGAGTACGAATCACTGTTCCCGAGGTCAAATTCTGATCTACACCGTTCAGATTGTGCGTCACTGAGTCGTGAACCTCTCCTCCAAAATTCAGCTCGATTGGACCACGGACGAAGCGGAATTGGATGCTTGATGAAATCTGGGCAGAATGGAAAAAAACCTGTGCGACCCAGTTACTGTTCAAGAGTGCGAATCACTGTTCCCAAGGTCAAACTATGATCTTCACCGTTCAGATTGTGCGTCACTGAGTCATGAACCTCTCCTCCAAAATTCAGCTTGATCGGACCACGGACGAAGCAGGATCGGAGCTTTGATCAAACCTTGGCAGAATGTGAAAAACTGCGTTTTTCCTTCTCCACTTCCACAAAACGTGTGCTTTTTTTAAACAAACCCTACACAGACGTCTACCTTATACTTATAGAGTTTTCCTAAACCCTAGGTTCATTTAAGTCCAACTCACAATCCTAACCGGCCCATCCAATTAACGTAGAAACCACGACGGCTATAATATAAAACCCTAATTTATACTGTAATTAAAACCCTAGTTAGATGTATTTACCTAATT